TTAGATAAGGGTGAGGACTCCACTCACTATGCAAGTACTCTTTTAATCTAGGGCAGAGGTTCTCAACCTTTTGACTAACGTGTATCATCTAAACAAAAATTGAAAAACTTCAGTACCACCACTATGAAGTATTACTACCACCACCACTCTTGAACAAAGCTCAGATCGCATAAATTTACGAGTGTTAGAAAAAAACCTCAATCAGGATGTTGGGTTTTTTTTTTTTAAATTTAATACTTAAAAATACTATGCTTCTTTGCGTACCACCGGTTGAGAACCCCTGATCTAGGGAAAAGATTTGAAGACTGGTAGATTCCTGTATAGATCTTATGACAGGAGAAATAAGGCGTTGCATTCAAGGAATTAGCACATCTGTCACAACATTTGTATGTAGGTTATGTGTATTGGCTTTCAAAAGAGATTGGCCGTTGCTAGGCAAGTCAGATCATTTTATGCATTTTTCTATTACAATTATGCAACATCTCATAATAATATGCCGCAGTCACAATTTTTCCCAGCGCAAATTTATATTTCTGATAATTTCTTTGTAATCCTACACAGACGTCATCATTTACTTCCTTTGATTGTGCTTGCCGAAATTTTTGGGGTGGCAGAGAGTTCATCCAATTCAATGGCTGTAGTTCAATCAGTGGAGTCAGTTTCAATGGCTGCTGCTCGTGCTTGGTTGTATCGCTTATTTTATTCTTTCCGAAACAATGCGCATGTAGTATTTGTTCTGCCATGGAAAGCTCTTTTACATTATCATATTCGTGAAAACATTTCAATTTACTTCTGCTAAAAACCAGTTAACTATTACATACGTAAAAAAGTAGAGTTTTCAGTTTGAAAAAAAGTTAAGATGCATTGTACAATGCTTTAAAATTTATACATCATAAGATTATCTTTCTATGATCATATAGCAAGAAAAATAATTACTTAATTGCATTCATATGTGCAATGAAAAAAAATAAGTAAAAATGAATTGAATGAAAAAAATTGCGAAATTCGTATTAATTTTTCAAAGTTTATTTTTTCCCCTGTTTAAAACCTATTTTCCCACTTTACTACACTTATCAACGGCCGAGCGATAAAATCGCTGAACGCTGATAGCTCAAACCTGGGTTCCAATCCCGGCGAATGGACTGCATATAAGCATTCTATACCGCGCCACCTGCATAGGGAAAATCCGTGCTTGTGATTGGACATACTTTCCGATGACATCATTCTCTCTTGGCGTATTGACGTTTAGGAGGGATTCTTACGGTTTTGTTTTGTTGAATGGCTCGCATGAGTGACACGGAAATGTTAAAATTATCATTTGTTTTCTTTTAACGATAATGCCAGATGAAAAGGTTTACTTGCAGCGTTCTGCAGATGGCTTCCAAATGTATGGAATAATACAATTATAAAGTCCTTTAAAGACACTGTTAACACCAGACGCAAACTTGAGCGCTTAGATTATATAAATAGCAAGTTCTAGAATTCAGTACAAAAACCAAAACTCGTTGGATAACTCGACGATTTTCGACCTAATTTTAAAGGCAGTGTGCGCTCGGAAGTATATTATTATTGCAATTTTGTTGCGTTCGTTTCCTTTCACATTACAGCAAATATTTCCTTTGCAACTGCATATGTTATTTCCATGTTAGTATCCATGTTTTTTCCCTTTCTAACATTCTGTTGCTATAAATGAAAGAAAAAAGGGCGTTCAGTGTTGTTGCTGAATTTAATACACCTGTATAAGGAAAGGAGTTTCCTTTTCTGATAAACACTATTTTTACACAAAGGTACGAAATATATTACACATTAAAAAGGGGCAATATTCATAAAGTAATATTATTCCATTTAAACATACGTATCTTTATTTCTCTAATCCAAATTTATAGTAGTCTAACTTCTTCTTCCTGAATAACTACAAATGTAATGAATTTACTGTGTACTATGTTAACTCACAATATTTTTGCTAAAACTGACTTGTCTCATATTTTCGGAGGTTACATTTGCAGAGAATGGGTACATAATGAACATGAAATAATGAATTAATAATCACCACACATTTACTATGAACGGTTTTAAATTAAGAAAACATTTATTAAAAATCTCTGCACGTAATATTAATACATATTTACGGATTTAACACACTAGAAGAAATAATACTTTTTCTCTCTAGGGCGAAAATTCACTAAATTTTTAAACTTAATTCACCACACTACAGTGCCGTAAGAATGTCATCTCACGGCGCCAAAAATACAGCGCACGTCAATAACAATAATAATCTTTTTGATGCTGATATCAAAATGTAAACAAATAGTATGGAGGTGTACTCTCGAGCCTAAGCACAGGCTTTCTAAGCGTAGACAAAATGATCTCATCGGAAGCCATGCCCAATCTTGAGGATGTAATTTTCTCTATGCGCGTGGTGTGGTACAGAACGCTTATACTCGAACGGGATGGCTGAATGGGTGTTTTTCTGGTTAGCTCTACGTGCAATCTCAATATGAACCGGTTTCCCTTAGAAAGTCTTCTAGGACGGCATCCCTTCACTTAGGCAGATAGGCTTCGAGTGCCTTGCAATAATTAAATAAACGAAACCAAACCCTTCCTTCTTACTTCTGCACTACAATGGGCTATATTTAGTATTGTTAAACTGCAATTTTCTTCTGTAATGAATAACATACATTTCTGATAACAAATGATAGACGAATATGATTTTAATTGAATTAAATGTAAGGATTAAATTGAAGGAATTGGGCTCATTGTAAAGATTTTATTGTTACTCTTATTAATAAGTACTGTAGAGACATTAGGTTATTTTTTTAGAAGCAGGCAAGATGAAAAACTAGCAACGCCTTCGCCGGCAATCGAACCACGGACCTCTGGAATACCGGCCCAGCGTGCAGAACCACTACACCACGAAGGCATGTTAGGAAAACGGGAGAAATACCTTATAGCACAAAATCTGTGCTTATGCAAATAGTTTGATTCATTGAATTTAGGACTAATCTGAATTATTTAGATAACGGCAAAGCATACGGAGCTTTTTAAGGGGAATTGGCCCATATAATCGTTACGCATAAGAAAAACCCTGAAAACTTCCACTCAGCTAGTTCGCTTGGCGGCATTTGAGCTCGGAATGCGAGTCAAATTACCAGTGCTTAGTGGTTTTACCATTCGGGCGTTCATTGAACTTCGACAGAAATTATATGTATGGCCTAGTTTTGATAATATTATATGTACTGGTGGCAGCTGAAACTAAACTCAGTTATTATAGTAACTTTGAAAGATTTTTAAAGTAGAATTGCAGCCCAGATGGTATAGTGATTAGGGAAGCCGACTGCGATACCAAAGGGCCCTAGTTCGAATCTCATGGCATTTTTGTAAATATCCGTCCCTTCATAAGAGGCAAAGGTCTAATAAAGATGGCCCATCTATTAGGTGCCTCCATAATAAAGTGACTACCGCTTCTGTTCTTAGTAGCGGCCAACGTTTATGATGATGACTGGTGCCCGCCGTTGGGGCGGGGGAAAGTATAATTTCGTGACAAGTGCCACTGAAAGACCATAAGAGCACAGTTATTAAGATATCCCTTTATTTTGCATTCCTTCACTAACTGTCCATTTTTCTCCCATTACACGTCTCCTAAATATCGTTAACTTGTAAAGCATAGGATATGTTTATGATGATCCAGCATAGAAATTGATTCTAAAAAGGACTCCGTGAGTCACTGGAAACTGTTACTGTATAATCATTTAAACAGAATGTAGGATTATTTGCATGTTCTACCGAGGAAAAAAATAATACCATAATATAAATTTATCAAAACTGTGAAATGTTTTACTACATGATTTTATTAAAAAAAAAATAAGTTAGACAGTAGAAACCTCTTTCTCTCTTAGTTTTTTTCTTCTGTACAATTAGATTTTTAGATAGTTTAGATAGCATTTTTAGATGGCACAAGTCTTAATTTTCTTTGTCGTAGTTTTCTAATGTTTTCAAATATAATTATATTAAGAATGTTTAGTTTTAAATATTGCACTTTAAAAATTTTCGAATTGTACACTTATAGGCTGTGAATATATAGCCTTTCTGAAGAAATATATCAGTGATAACTTTCCTTCTATGATTTTATGAAGTTTGATATATGTTTTGGCAGTTTTCTATGGATGTAAATATGATCTTTTTTTACCTTACAAAGTCTCTACGAAAAACCTTCGCTTCCAAGGTAACCGGTAATAAATTATCTGTGTTTTCTATAAAATTTAATATTAAATTATCTATTCATCTTAGTTCTTGGTAGGTGTACATTATCTGTTCAGCTGCTACTGACACAAAATTTAATAAATTTATTATTATAATTTTGAAATAAGCTCTAATACTTCTGAAAAATCAGAACAAATAAAATTTTTATGTACTGCACAATTATATACTTTCGCACAAACGAAATTTTTTTACTGTAAAAAGTGAAAGAATTTACCGTTCCCATTCTGCAGAAGCGAATTGAATGAAATGTCACAGTAGTCATCCACCTACCTGTTTTAACGACGGCAGGTGGTTATGTTGACCTACCTATCCAAGTTGGGTGCGCATCATCCAACAGCTGCGAAAGATACACAAGGGAATCAACGCCAATAGCACATGCATAGTTTACGCAAGCGCGTCTGCCTTTGTTTGTTAAGGATGACACTGCACCGATAAGCAACCGCTGCTGTTTCAAAGGGCATTTGGAAAATATGCCAGTCTTTGGAGATGCTCCTTCTGGCAATATGCTAATATGTTTGCTAGAAAGATAATAATGTGTATAAGCGGTTTCTGATCCAATCAAAATATTACAGCCTAAAAGAATAGTGGGAAGTTTTCGTGCTTTCTTAAGAAAATTCGCTGTCAGGATATATAAAACGAAAAAAATGTTTTGGAGAAATCTTGTTTTGATGCGAAGTGCTGGATAACACACTCTTAGATCGCATTAAAATACATTAAAATATTTTATCCGAATTTATTCCCAACTGATGAATGTATTCGTTGCAGAGAAGAGTACCTGCCCATATGCAATTAATATTCACAAAATTGGATTTATTGGAAAATTGTGCCTTGTGTGAATGATAACGCATTTTATGTGACATCTCCAACTGAAGGAAAAAAGTTATACATTGAAGAAAACTATACGAAAGTATACGTTTTCTACGTACAATTAAATATTCTTTTAGTTGGCGAGAATACAGTTATTAAAAGCAGCTTAGAAATGGGAAATGATGTTCTTTAAATATACATCGAGCATTTTTCTGTAAATCGCTTGGATTATTTGGAAACTGACGAGCACTGTTTCATAACTTTTGCTTTACAACCAGTTATGTCAGTTCAACTGCAGAATTTCTTTAAGTCCTGTGATCCTGAAGGAACTAGTTCTGTCGACAAAGAAGCATTCAGGGACTTATGTAATCGCTTGAATATCTCGCAAGAGGATGCGGATTTGATATTTGATGATTTAGATCTTGATAGAGACGGAAGGATTAGTTTTGCAGATTTTTCACGCGGATTTTCAAATTTTTTATCTAATTCGGTAGCTTGTGAGCCACTGGACGACCATAATAATGATGGTGTTGGAAATTCTGAAGATCCGGAAGAAACAACAAAGCAACAGGTCTGGACAACTCTAACCACTGAGGCTGAAAGAGTAGGAAAAAAGAGCAGGTACGTGAAATATGAAGTTCCTTAAAAATTACATGTTTTAAATGTATGCATTCTATTAATAATATAATTTCTGTCGAAGTAAAATGAAATACTTCAGAGTTCACATAATGAAAGTGCTTCTATTTTACAGAGATACTGGACTATTTTATGCGTAGCATATTAACAAATTGCGCTCTTAGACTTTATTTTTTTGAATGTTATTCCTAGATATATATTTACAGTTACAAAGTTGAAGAAATGTACTTTCAGTTCTCTAAAGCAGTCTAGAATTTTATGAAAGCAAAATCAGCGTTAGAGCTGGAAGGACCTTGTATATATGATATCTAACTTTTTTTTAATCTACCTTAATTTTTTTAATATTACTTTTTGTAATTTTTTTTTGCATACTTCAATATAATTTTTACTTTCTTGTACGAAGTAAAGGACGGAATGAAATCGCCAAAAATTTCAGGTATCATGTTTCAACGAAAATATCCATTTTGATAGTTCTCGAATCCATTTAAACCGTTTTTTTTTTTTTTTTTTTTTTTTTTTTTTTTTTTTTTGCGTCACATTTGCACGTGCGGACAGAATAAAGAACGTTTTTCCCAAAAGGGATTCCAAAGAGATTTTTTTCGTGACGCGTACGTATCTCGCCTAACTCAAAAAAGAATAACCTCTGTACGTTGAAAATTTGTGTATGTGACAGCTATAACATTTAGTTGTGCCCCTCTCTCTTTAATTACAGTCGGCAGCAACAAACATACATAAATATGCATATATACTCACACTGTTACCCGGCTCATTGAGCTCATTTTTTGTGTTCTCATATGTTGCTCAAATATACCTTTTTTCCTTTAAGCGTGATTGAATTATGTTGTTATGTTCCGGTTAAGGTTTTTATGCCTTTAGTTAATCTGTACGTAATATTTATAGAATTATCAATAATTTAAAAGTTAAGATACAATAACACGCCGAACAAATATTAATTTAGAAGTCAAACAAAAAATATCAGCGTTATATTTTCAAATTTGGAATATAACGCTGATTTTTATTGTTTGACTTAACCACTTAAACAACTTTTAAATTTATTTAAAAGTTGTTTAAGTGGTACAAAGCCTAACGAAGCTGCCGTTTACATTTAGAACTGTTAGTAGAATAGCGAGTAGAAAGTCAGTTTGTGCACCAACTTCACTGTTTTTTTGCCGAATGGGACTAAAATTGCACCGAAAAATCTGTCTTCTTGCCCGCTGGCTTGCTTTTGGGTAGAAGCTCTCATTTTTTTTTTTTTTTTTTTTTTTTGCAAACTGAAAAAATTGTTTTTTTAAAGTTTTTAACTATATTTGGTGTTTTATGTTTTTGTGTATTTGACAATTTATAGTGAAGGTGTTTTGAGGTTTTATGTAGTTTTGCTTTGCCATGACGTGAGAACTGAATAATTTATTGAATGAGAAATGTATCTTTAATGAAACTTGAGGAAATAAATTTAAATGAAATACAGCAAAAAATGTGTATAATTTAATAAGCCGTACAAGGAAGTCAGTGGTGTCCACATAAGAATTTTTTGTGTAAAGCAAAGAGTTGAATTACTATTAAAAGTGCTTGGTATATTAACTTAAATTAATAACTTGGGATTCATAGGTAAGGAAAGTTCTGCATTTAACTTGCTAAAGTATGAAACACATTCTAATAACTAGACTAATTTTCTTCATGAGGACCGTATGAAAATTTGATTTTGTACCTACAAAATCCTCTTACTCAAGTAATGATCACTTTTTATGCGATTTTTTACCTTATTTTAAGAAACTTTGTAACTGCAAGTTTTCTTATATTCTTAGGATCAGTATTTAAAGAAATAAAATATGTAGGCATCTTTCCAAAATACACTGTATGTATATATTTATTTAATTTGCTGAGGCTGCTAATTTAAATATCATATTTGCATTGCTTACATTGCAGCAATCTTATAACTTGGTAATATCAGTAACAGAGTGTAATTGTTATTTAACGGCATCAGTTTATTTTCAATGAAGGATAATATGTGTTTAATATTAATAAGAACTGTACTTAATAATATGGTCTGCATATATAAGGCGTAAAAACTTTCTCACGTTTGTAATTGAAATAGCTCAAAAATGTTTGTTAGAAAGCCTGAAAGATTTTGGTGCTAAAATTTCGCATTTTTTAATACATGTTTCAGCTATGAAAACAAAGCATGAACTTCTTATAAAATCGATTTGCTGTATATTCTTAATAGTTTCAGTTCTTTAAGCCTCTGAAATTTTCATATTTTTTTACTTAAATCCTTAAGAATTTTAAAAGTTAGCTTTTAGAAGACTGTTAGATTTTTTCCTATTAGCCTGGTGTTTGAAAGTTGCCATATCAAATATAATAGTCGGTAAAGTCGATGTCGATATAATAGTCGGTAAAGTCAAAAGCAAACCAAAGGAAGTTCTCAAGGCCTCGATCAATAGCTAATTTGTGGTTTCTTTTGGTTTTTAATGAAATGTGATTTTCAGTAGACCTTATGAGCTATTTTTGCCTTTATTTCTCAAAAGTAGCACACAGGATCAATATTTAAAGAAATGGACGAATTGGGCTTAGGAATATTGTAGGTGATCCCAAGAATATTGTAATATTGTAAGCATCAATATAATCAAATGCTGATCTTAGGAATATAGTAGATGTAACTCTTAATTAAGTAATTACTATGCAGTAGTTTAAACATAAGAAGCCTGTATTTTCTACTTTTAAAAGCGAGAAAATATAAGTGTTGGTTACCATTTTCTGATACAACACAGGGCAGTTATTGCACTGTCTTGAGCCTTAACAATGAATTAATATTCTTCTAATTATAATTAGCCAACATTCAGGAATTACTAGCTATAAACATTCAAGTGTAACGAAATGCAGTGGGAGCGTTGTTTAAGCAGTTAAAATTAAAAATAAAATAACAGTGGGACCGGTTGTTTAAGTTTCGGAATATCTTCAAACTATTTTTTAATCAAACGGCTTAAATTAAATCACTTAAATAATATTTTCTAAGCAGACTTTACATTTAAACTTAACAATCAGCATTAAGTAAATTATTGAACTATGAGTTATTGATTGAAATCTGATATTTGAGATTTCCATCATATCCTGTTTTGACGTTAGAAACATCTGGCTTAATATCCCCCCTTCTTCTGTCAGTGCCAGATGTCTATTAGTCACGACCTTTGTTTTTTAGTTGTTTCACTTTTACGTCGTTACACATTTGTGTCCGAATCATTCTTCGAATAATAGAATGTTGCCAACAAATATTATAGCCTTGTATTATTTTTAAAGAAATAACATAACAATATGCAAAAGGTGTATGTAAAAACAAGCAACAAATGTTGCTACCAAATGTTATCTCCATGTGTTCTCTTTTTTAAAGAAATAACACAGTGAATACATCTATTAAAAAATGTATGGCAGCACATAACATTCTATCCGGAATTCTAAAAATAAAATTAAAAAAAAATTAAATATTTTGTGCTTTCTTACTCTTGAATTTCACTTGGCCTAAGTACTATGAAAGTGATGTTTAATATCGTAAATAAAGTTAAAATGACAAACAAATTGTGTAATTCACCTTGCAAAGAAAATTGAATATTCATGTGATGAACTAAGAAAAGATTGGAAAAAATTGTAAAGGTATTAGGTTATTTCGAAGCAGGAGACATGAAAAATGTGCAGTGCCCTCGCCGGAACTCGAACCTCTCGACTACGCGCCGAGCGTGCTGACCATTACACCACGAAGGCATGCTAAGAAGGCGGGAGAAATACCTTATAAAATAATGGAACACTGAACTCTATCGGGAATTCTAAACGTATACTGGTTTTGAAAATTTTATGATTTTCTTCTTGACTTAACAAAACCTCTGGTGCATCTTTAAAATTGGAATCCTTTCAGAATTTCTTTTTTTTTTTTAAAAAAAATCTTTATTAATTTTTTTTGGTACAGTACATTGCGTTATATTATTATGACACAAAAACATTTATCACTGACACAACCTGTCAGGTAAAGCCATGTTTCTAGATATAAATTCCTTAGTTTGTCTTCCGCGCAGCTTGGCAAATAGCCAGTTTTCCAAGAGTAAGTAGTATAATATAAGTTCCAGGTTTAATAAAGTAAGATCTTTTCTTTATCTTTCACATAATGTTATTTATAACAAACTGAAAAACAGAAAACAATAAACGTGTCTCTTAATAATTTTTACCTTTATTGTTTAGTGATATAGTTAACTGATGTAATTTGTAAAACATTTAATGAATGCAATCCAACTAATATTTTTTTTTATAAAAGTTTGCTTCATTATTATTTTTAATACAAATAAATGTATTTTTAACCCACTAAAATGTTACATAACTTAATAAAGAGAAATATTTTGTGAACACACTATTAATGAAATTTTGTGTGATTTCCATATCTACGTAATGAAGTATAAATTCGAATGTTATTACAAATATTATAAAATTCGATTCAGAATAATTAACATTTCTAAAAATTGTTTAAAAATCAAAGGAGGTTTATATAAAAAGCCGGAATCCCTCTACATTTGAAGCATTTCTTAATATTTTAAAAACGTATATAAACACATTGCCTATACAGTTGAAACTTGGTAGACATCAGCCATGCTAGGCATTTGCTAAAAAATCAAAAGCATTCAAACACTTGTCAAGTTGTCGAAATCGACCCACTTTAACAAAATCCATTGTTCTTTCACAATGGGAATGGCTGTTTTGATGGAAGAAATGCCTTGCAATGTGTTAACTGTCTAATTAAAACACTTTAGCCTCATTTTGCTAAAACATATTAATTAGACCACAGTTAGCAAGTGGTAACATACCAAATTTGACTTAAAAAAGGTGAATCGAATTTGACATAAAAAAGGTGCACTTAAATTTTGCATTGATGGATATTAGCTTACACACTAAAAACAAACGCTTTGTGCTTGAGATATTGAATTCATTTACTTAAACAATCCTTGCTGAAA